TGTGTGTGTGTGTGTGTGTGTGTGTGTGTGTGTGTGTGTGTGTGTGTGTGTGTGTGTGTGTGTGTGTGTGTGTGTGCGCGTGAATGGTGAATTGCTTTTCTCAATTTTATATCACCGCCCCTTCTCGAACCAATAACCACCAATTTCATCTCATTTTCCTTCATGTGCTCTCCTGACTTGTGGCGCAGTTTACTGGCAGCGCTGACAGGATCTTGGTAACGTTGAATGCCCCAACTCCAGCTATTGTAAGACCTTGCTATGAGTTGTTTGAGGATTCCACTACCCGCAGCCTAGGTGCAGGGGCAATATGCACTGTGGATGAGTCAAACCAAGCCCTTCTCGTCATCAAGCTAGGAGCAAGAGCAACAATTCAGGAGTTTGATGATGTTGCCCTTAAGGAGGGCAGCTTGCCAGTCTATTTACATCCACTTTCTCCCAGTGCTTTGCAATTCGATTCGACAACTGTGAATGTGGAGGCACCAGACGCAGACGAAGAATATTCCAACAACAATCAGCCAACAACAATTGTGTCAGGTTTCACAGAGTTGGGTCGTACCTGCCTCAACATTTCTCCTGCTGGAATGGTGGAAATTGATGGGTAAGCCTCTCTTTCTGTGTTTCCCTTTGCTCCTTCAGCTTTGTCATTTCTTTGAAATTTGTTTAAAAAAAGGGTTYCCCCCAACCCTACGGATGCAGATGCACCCGCCACGGCTATGCTCCCGGCACAGTGTCAACGAAGAGAAACCAAACAGGCGAAGTGTAAGGAGATAATTCAATGATCAGGCACTATAATATTGCTAGAAGAGAAGAAGAAACAGAAGGATGTAGGCGGGAACAGAGAAAGGCGACATGTGTACAAAGTGGTACGTGTTTAAGTTAGCATAATACCATCATGAAGCGAAAGAGATGTGTGATAGAGCAAGTAAGAGGCAAGCGCGGGCAAATCTCTCTCTCTCTCTCTCTCTCTCTCTCTCTCTCTCTCTCTCTCTCTCTCTCTCTCTCTCT